GGCAGGGCAGGGCAGGGCAGGGCAGGGCAGGGCAGGGCAGGGCAGGGCAGGGAGAGTCCTTGGGAGCAGAGGATTTTAACACTCCGGAGCACGGATAGCACAGCCGGGTGTTAGGGCGGGATGTCAGGGCGAAAGTCCCTTTGGCAGAGAGATAAAATGAGAGATGGGTGCAGTTTGGTGACCCAAAATAGAAGAACTTCAATAACGGGAACGCAATCCCTATGTAGGGTGCACCAGAAAGAGCCAGGGCAGGGGTGAAACAGTAACTTATATAAGGTAGGGTGAGGGCAGAGTCTGAGGGTCAGGGTCCAATGGGAAACAATGATTTGGAATATTAAAATTAATGCACCAAACACGAACCAATGACAACTGGGGAAACAGAGAACTTACTAGAAACATTAACATATGAACTCCCAGGGGGCAATGCAGGTGAGTTTCTTCTCATAACTAAAGATTGTTTATCGTGATTAGGGTGATTGTTCCCAGGGCCTCAGGCAAAAGCTTTTGGCTTTTTTAACCCCAACAGAGGATGCTCAGGCATCCCACTTTTATAATCAACCCATCTATTGGGAAAGGCCCTCATGGGGCTTTTTAATTAATCAGAAGATTGCTTTGTTTTTATTTTTTATGGAACTAGCATGCATTTAATTTCTCTGAACAGTATTGAGTTAGCAAGTCAGAAGAAAAAGGTGGAAGGCTCTGATGATAAGAGGGGATTCCTTCTTGAGGCTGGCTTTCTGTGAATACCCAGTAAAGACCAACAGAGTTGTGAATGCTATTTCTGCAAACTACAAAAAGCTCTCAGCAAGCAGGCAGGCCTTGCTGGTGTTTTTATAGCACTGCAATATCATCCTCAGTGTTGGACCCAATCAGCAAGCGAAGAACAGGAAATTTATCTGTAGTGTGACTCGACACTGATGGCAAAGAAAGAAACAGGACTTGCGTCTCAAGACCGTGTCCAATTTGTGGTCAGCTGTGGCCACAGTCCCTGTCCTGGCTGACAGTATGAGTGATTTGGCTACTGTCAAAAAGGAGAAAGCAGAGTAAACTAATGACAGAATGTAGTGATGCCATGGGCATCCTTGCAGGATCACCTGTAGCTGTCAGCCACCAACTCTGATACAGAGCCAGCAGTGACCACCATGGACCACTTTTCTCTGAAATCTGGTGGGATTTTTTTTTCTATTTGGCTCAGGCCTTTCAGCTCCTTTCTGTCCTCACCTTTTCCTTCTGTGGTCTTTCCTTTTCCAGTAAAATCCATGTTTGAACCCGTGCTTCTGTCTCACAGAAGTATCTGGGGTTGACTTTGGGAATGCTCTCAGAGTAAACAGCAATAGGAGCTTGGTACCCTGCCCTAGAACAAGGTGGGGTGACTCCAATCGCCAGCAGTTGGCACAGACAAGCAGAGCCAGATGCATCTCCTGCTGCTGTGTCCGTGTCACCCACAATCTTCACAGCTGCCCCTTTGTGATGCACTCGCCTGTGGTTCTCTTGTTTCCATGGCCACAAAGACCCCACCCCAACTCCATCCCTATCCCTTCCCTTCCCAAGGGCAGCCAGCCCTAGGCCCAGCCAGACCAGGCCTGAAGGTTTAACAATGTAGATGCCTTCCAAAGCTACTTTTCAAGGCCTTTATTTCTATAATTCCGACTCAGTTCTGGGTTGCAGCTTGTTGGTGTGGGATTTTGTTTATTTCTCTTCACAACAAATAAAGTGGCAACAGGTGTTGGAAGTAAAAGAAGCTTTGCTCTCCCTAGTAGATGACCCCTGAATTCAATTGGCCGATATCTTTACGGAGCAAATTGACCATACAAACATTCCACTTTTGCTCTGCTTCATTGTTCTGGTGGTTTATTCCCTGCATTCTTTATTGCCAAGACATTGAAACCCAATGTAAATACGATTTGCCTCAAAACATTTCTGATCTTGGCAGTTCCTGACAATTCAAAATTTTCTTAATGGAAATAGCACGGGGCAGGTCATTCTGAAATATTCTCCAATAGAGCAGTTAAAACTAATCATGCTTCATTTGGCAGAACTAAGCCTGAACCAAGGGACCAGTGGGTCTGATCCCTTTTTCTGCATCAGCAAAATTATTTCTTCAAGTCTCATCTCTCTTATCTATTCAAAGAAACTTTGCACTCTGCATTAGATGCCCCCAGTATTCAGTGTGCCAATATGATCAGTGTATCTCTAGGGTGTAAATTTGCCATACAAAGGTTCTCCTTCGTTGTGGTTGGGGTTTATTCCTGCTTTCTTTCCTGCAGACACAACATTACAACACCAGCCTCAAAACGATTCTCATTTTGACAGTTCCTGAAAATTCAAAACTATACTCAGAGCATTTCTGTGTTCCCAGAGATAGGCTCCAAGGCTGGGCTCTCACTTGCACAGCATGAAGAAGAGCTGCTGCACTTGCCAGCTGCTCTGAGGGCTCGCAATCAGCGCTTTGAATGCAGCTTTTATACACGCTCTGCCTCCCTGAGCCGAGCAGCATTCCTGGGCATGGACACCACCTCTGCAGGCCAGCATCCTTCCAGCACAGCTGCAGGAATGATATTGCAGCAAGTCCTGGCTGAAGGAGTCTCCAGTCTGCTGCAGCCCCACCTGTGGTGGAATCATCTTGCGCTGCCATGGGGGGAGCAAGGGGTGATGGGCCCTTTGCAGATGAAGGTCTCCTCGATGTGCTGCTGCTGCTCGCTGGGCCTGATTCAGCTGCTGGTGCCTTCTCCCACAGCTGTATCAGGTGCCTGCCTGGAAAAATGACACTGCCAGTGCAAGTGACAGCCACAGATCCCTGCCATCGCCCTGCCCACAAGGCGTCCTGCCTACCAAACTGCTCCAGTCAGGTGATGTTAGACAACATAAAAATATGTTCAAACTATGTATTTTCCACATTCTGTCAAAATCATGACCATACCGTCCACATGTTGGGGTCAGACTACTGTTGGCAGAATGGGTGAAGCCCCAGCAGCTGCTCTCTCCATGGCTGGATGGCCATGGCAGCAGAGGCAAGTCTCTCACCGTTCCCACTGCTGTGGCACGCAGTGCTCTGGAGTTGTTCCCACTGAACCCAGGCTGCTGCTACAGCAGCAACATCGCTTCATACATTTGATAACAAAGACTTGGAATGGCATACAGGACTTGCCCCAAGAGCAAAAAAAAAAAAAAAAGAAGGGGGTAGGGGTAGACTAGTTCACTCCTTTTTAATACAAGCATACCTGGAATTAAGCAGGGACATTGGGCTAACCATACTGGGAATGGTTTGTAAGCCTTGTCTCTAGCAATTCCCACCAGTCCCAGTCCATGAGATTTTTTCAGTAAAAAAGGGTAGGTGAGATTTTACAACACATTCATGAACAAGTCTGAGCCAGAACTCAAAGCACAAGAAAAATACTCCCAAATCTGCCACCCAGGGGGGAAAGGAAACAGAAAAGCAGATGAAACAAGCACCATTGCAGCTAAATTGCCTGCATTTAACCTCTGAACCAACCTTTCTTGGCAAAAGCACCTCAATTCAAACACACAGCTTAAGATCAAGGAATAAGTGTTTCGAGAGCATTTAAAGCCTGATTCCTTTTACTTTCAAGGAAAGATAGATGCTAAATTCCTTAAAAACACAAATGTGGGTCTATTTGGGACTGCATCCTTCAAAACAAGGAATGGAGGTTTTGGATGGCAGAACAGTTTCCATTGGAAAACACCTTTAAGACCAGAGAGGCTCCCCAATAACCTGAGACCACTAACACTGCCAAGGCCACCACTAAAGCATATCCCAGCATGGGATGCTACTGGCCTTCTTGGCTACCTGGGCAGTCGCTGGTTCACCTTCAGCCACTTCCAACCAGCACCCCCAGGTCCATTTTGCTGGGCAGCATTCCAGCTACTCTGCCCCCAGCCTGTAGCCTTCCATGGGGTTGTTGTGGCCAAAGTGCAGGACGGGGCACTTCACCTTGTTAAACCTCACACAAGTGGCCTCAGCCCATGATCCAG